CTTTTATGTCTATATGGCTATGGTTTTGGTGCTGATTTCTTTCTTTCTGAGTGTTTTGTGCATGCAAGTAATTAAAGGAACAAGAACAACAAGTGTTCATTATATCGAAATATTTTTACAACATAATAGCAGGGATTAACGGTGCAGGGAAGGGATGGGATCTCCCGCGAAAGAGTTCAAATCGTTTGAAATCTAGTCGTAAGCATTAAGTGTTTCCTTCTTATTCAGCATTGACGAACTTTCTTAACGCGCGGAGCTCAAATGAATTCGAAGTGACGAGGTTTCCTTGCACATGTAACGTCTCTGTATTTGTATTAGTTTTCATATTTTCTTGACTAATACACTGTTAGAAAACAATGATTTTATAATTATTAACACATGTACATTCAGTTAGCATCAGAATAATCTTCCACATTGGAGTTACCCATTTATACCCTTAGGGTAGGGAAAGTAGTTTTTAGAGTGAAGTGCATTGGTGAAAAAATAATGATTTGTTGTAGTTAGTAATGCACACTGAAATATATTGGATCATCGGTTGTGCATGAACTAGTTTTGAGTGTAACTACTGTAGCAGCACATCTTATCTTCCGCTTGACCTATATGTATGCCTTGTATGCCAATGTAAAGCCAAAATAAAATCGTGTGTGTTTTAGCTTATCATGTGATTGAATGAGAAAATTATTAAATCTTAATTCGCTCGAAGAAAGTGAAAGATGTAGTTGTACACTTTTCCTATTCCATTTCTTCAGATTTCCGTTTTAGCCGTGGTTTACTATTCATAATCCTGAAAAAAAAATACTTTATGAGAGAAACGTGTCTCCCGCATAAAACAGAACACAGTGAGCTGAACAGGGCAACTGAAGCTATTCACCATCACCCCCAGCCCCCCTTCCACATTTCCCCCCGGTGTCAAGGTCAGTTAAGGACTTTCTTGACCTTCTATCGCAGCGTTTAGTCATTGCTGATCATAAACCAAATTCAAGTTGATTGTTTTCTTTAATTACCCTTTTATGTAACTTATTACAAGTGCTAACTTTATCTTTCCCTTTTTCCTACAAATTAAACTTTCTTGAAATTGATATAGATAGTTAGTTTTTTCACTTTAACGTAATGAATGAATTTATTCCCAATGTTTGAAAACCTACCGGTCCTCAAGCTGAGACTATCCAGTAATATCCTCTCTCTGTAAATTTAACGATTTAACGCACGATCAAATAACTATAAAATCAAACAGACTGCCCGTGCATTGCATGCAGGGACTTTTTTGGTTTTTAGTGATTTTATGTCAATAACTGCGAACTGCAATTCGACGGGGAGTTGCACAACCAAATTGAAGTGACCTAAATGAACAACCACAACAGAGAGAAAAACTATTATTATTTTTCACTGCCTACCGATAAACTTCAACTCGTATCAATGATGGCGCTGATTTTATTCAAAGGCTCTGATCTGAGTATTTAATGAACACATGATTTTTTTAAAATAGTGTGGGTCAAATTCTGTCTTAAAAACTGAAAGGAAGCCAGAACGGCCCACGAAGTCGAAGCTTGCGTGATACTTCTCATGGAATAAAATAGCAAAATCTCAGCTCTGTATAATTTGCAATTCGAGTAAGTCAAACACAGCAAGGTTTCCATTGAATGAATAATTGAATCAATCAAAAAATCCATACGTACATCAGCTCTATTCAAATAAAACAACTTATATACTTTCTAATTAACTCACAGCTTTTAACCTAGAAATATCACCTAAAGACAAGACCTTTTGTCGGTGTCACAAAAAGTATTTTCCCTCCGTGATGGATGGAAAATTTCGATTGCGCTGTTTCTACATCGCAAAAAAAGTTTTTGCATACCAAGAGGAAAACTTCAGAGAGGCCGAAAGAGCCTCATTTGACAGGTAATTGCTTGGAGATTTGGCCGAGGGAGTAGGTTTCCCGCAAATCGAATCCCAAATCCAAAATCTGGTCTTTCGACATCGCATATTCCGAAAAAAAAAACTTCTCATAATTCCGTCGTCCCTGAGTTTCAGCTAATTCTTATTACTGGCAACTTATTTTTTATGCTAGTGTAAGCAGATTGTCCGCTTTCCTTCCACGACAGCTGTTGTGTTCAAGGATGCTAAGTAATCATTTACAATCATATTTATTGTTTTTAATATACTTGACGAAATTCTTTAAACCGAAAGAACCCGAATGATTTAGGGCTGTAAATACGGCAAGATCTTCCATAAACTGAACAATTTTTGAGCGAGTAAATGGTAGTTAAAATAGAGGTGAAGCAAATTAAAGAGAGATGCCTCAGCGAAACATTTTCTTTTCCATAACGATAAAGGTGATTTAAAAGGCTTCCAAACAAACTTTGAAACATTATTTTTACAAGTATCTGTAAGAATCTGACACCTGTCAATTAGAGAGCGCGTAAGAAAAAAAAAAGCATAAGAGCATTTGAAAAACAACGGAACTAGTTTGGCAAGGACTGTCACCATTGGATGGAAAATTACTAAGTCTCCAGCTATCAGTTTAAGGCTTGAAATATTTGGCGAGTTCGTCCTATTTGTCTTCAGACCTGACACTCTCGGCAAATTTTACACGCCTCTTCTTTTCGTTAATGTGTTTATGAATCATAGACACTAGCCTTTTCTTATCCTGCCCTCGCCTTTGCGAAAACTCAACGAATTCAAGGCGTCAATAACTAATCATTTAAGATTTAATTTTTTGACAATAAATCACAAACTTGTCTGGTTTCTATTTATTACAGTTCTCTTGTAAACAAAGCTCGACTGTTGACCTAGAAATCGACTTAAATATCGCCATAGGTATAATATCATACTTCTCTACATTTCCAAGGAGACAAATCCAAATTTCCTGGTATACCTCGCAGACAAATCCAAATTTCCTGGTATGCTTCGCAGGTCCTATGTGCTACTTTAAATGTAGGGAAATCCACTATACGATTATCTTAATCTAAGGTTGCACTTTACGCAGACACCATGTACTAGGATTGCAAGGCTAACTCATTGAATTGACTAATTAGATGGTCAATCAGTTTTGCATCGTTGAATTGTCCCTTCAAAATCTAATTTCCTGAAATTGGAAATGACGTACAGCAACGTTAGGTTTCCCAATAAAAATGGATATAATTGTGGTTGTAAGCCTCTTGTTGGCCAATATTATTCACTTACCTCGAGCTCGATTTCCTTGTACTTGAGTCAACATACTCCAATCGTGTTTGCAAAAGCGGCTGAGTTACGGCCCACGTGCTCCTGATTAAATTCACCAATTTTCCTCTTATGCCTTTTGTAGCTGATTGTCTTGACTGCAGTGATTTGGCTACAATTTGTTTGAATGTTAATAATGTCGCTTTTATTTTCCGGATTTAAAAGAAAGAACAAGATTCAAGAACCTTATAAAAATGTCTACATAGGAAATGGAGTTAAGTATATTTATTCCATGTGATTTTTTTTCCCGCCAGTGGAAGAAAGCTTGGTAATAGTGCCCTGGCCTGGTTATATATAAATTAATCCCAAAGGTCTTTGAGAGCTCATTTGTTAAGTGCGCATGTCGGACAGTTTAGGCGGGAAGCGACCCAGCGGCAAAATGAGTGCGCATGCTTGTGACGCGCGCGAAAATTTACGCGCGCAAACTAATAAGGAATGGGAATGACAATATTTCCATGCTAGCTACCTTCACATTTCTCCACTCTGAGTGATAACCCGTTACCACGAGACTGGAAAAAGTAAGGCTTGTTATCAATCAGGGACAAGGTGGTGCACAAGTTTTCGGAGAAACGTCAACAAAACATTTGCCATGATGACCACCTATAAAAAGCCAGTCAGGAAAAAAAAAATGTTGGATATATTCAGAGGCTGTCATCTCCTGCTGCATATTCTAGGTTTACAAACTTCATCCACTTATGTAATAAACAATAAAATAAATGATGACATAATTCTCACCCTGTTTGCACGAGAAGATCACTAACTCAAAGAAAAATAATCATGCAAATGAAGATGGACGGAGTGCCATGCAAAATTCGGTTGGAGTGCTAACAGACTCCATGGATGGACAATGGGATTATCAAGTTGCAGACAGTGTAGATAGTTGTACCTGCTGTAGACAGTGTAGATAGTTGTACCTACTGTAGACAGTTTAGATAGTGGTACTCACTGTACAAAGTTGTAGCTACTGTTACACAATGATACTTCTTACATGAAAGTTCCACAAAATGGCCCTATGGTGACAGAATAATACAGCCTACACGCATTGTTTTACAAAGTGACTATATGTTGTTCCACCATGCAGTTTAAATCGCGTCGTAGGATTAGATTTAACAGATAGTTTATTGCATTTCGCTAATGACAACGACTTTTCTGTGAAGGAGAGTCAAATTGTGGACACCCGATTCCCTCGAGTAGGTCATTTGCGCTGCTTGATTTCTGAAGAGGACACTTAATTGCGTCGCCGTGTGGTTTTAATCCAGATTTCACTTAACAGAAATCAGCTTACATTACATATTTAAAACAAAGATTTTCTAGTTATGACCTTTATGATTTTCTATTTATGAACTAAGCCTAATATCCAATCGTGTTATTTAAATAATTTCATGTTTGCACATTTAATTTAGGTGAGCCATTCCAATCATTTGAATTCCGGACACAACCGTGACTTGTCGAAGAAAATTTAATGTTCTGATGGTCGTGGTTCTGCCTCTGTATTAATGGTAAGCTATGACGAAAAATTAGCTGATCTTTATAGCAAGTATGCATAAGAATCCATACTCATAAACACGTGATATCCGTACTTAATACATTTAATTTATACTCAAAAAAATTGGTTTAAATCTTTTATAAGGCACGCACATCTATAAATTAAATGTTTGTGCATCGCAAAGGGCCAACTGCAAGTGATTTATTGATCTGTGTTAGTCTTGGTCTACGAATATTTGGAGTTGGGTTAATCTTTTGTAGCTTTGTTATAGGATGAAGATGAAGCAGACGTAGACGTGGAATTTGCAAGCGGTGGAGATGTGGAGAAAGTATTTGCAAGCTAAAGTTCCTGTACACCAACAAGCAAGGAGAACGGAAGCACTAAAGAAACACCTAAAAGTTCAAAAAAGGTTCGTGCCTTTTTATATCTTGTATTGATAACCAATCTCTATACTCCCACAGAATAGAATTTAAATTCTAGGAAGTGGAATTGAGTTGTAAAATAAAATTCAGTCAATTACTTGTATCTCTTCATGAGATCCCCTCCCTCCCCCCCTTGACCATTGTTAGATAAACATGCTAATTAGAATAAGAAAGATGGTCAGTTTTGAGCGCGGTAAGAAAAAGAGAAAGTTTTATTTTTCGGTTTGTGATGAGCTTGGAACAAAGAAAAAATTTTGTTTGCCAAAGTGGAATTGAACCTAGGGATTTCATGCCCCGATGCTCACCACTGATCAAGCCACAGAGACTCTATGGTGAGCAAGACCCATTACAAAGTTCATTTAAGACACATTTTGCATACTGCTAGGATCAGCGAGCTATAGAAGTAAAGCATTGATTGGTCATTTTACAGACATTTAGGTGCAATGCTTTAAATGATGAATTTCTTGTATTTTCCTGCTGAACAATGCTGTGTTCAAGGTAATATGTCAGCTGGGGGTGAATTTTTTTTTTTTACTTAGGAATCCTTGCTTTCAGGCATAGATTGATTCTTTCATTGACTGATCAGTTCTTTCTCAAATTATCAATTTCACATTTTCCTTGCTCTAAAATACAGTGATCAAGGTATATGCCAGAGGTGCAAAGCCTTTTTGCTGAGGAATCCTCACTGTTAGGCAATGATTTATCATTTTACAGCATATGTACAGTGTAGGTGCAATGCTTGAAACATGTTTTTTCTTTTCTTTACCATACTGTCATCAAGGTATATGCCAGGGGTGCAAAGCTTTTTTGTTAAGGAATCCTCACTGTTAGACATTGATTTATCATTTTACAGCATATGTACAGTGTAGGTGCAATGCTTAAAACATGTTTTTTTCTATGCTCTACAATGCTGTGATAAAGGTATATGCCAGAGGTGCTAAGCTATTTTGCTAAAGAATCCTCACTGTTAGGCACTGATTGATAATTTTTACAGCACAGGTTGGTGCAAATTGCCTGAAACATATTTTTCTTTTTGCTCTACAATACTGTGATCAAGGTATTTTACAGCACAAGTAGGTGCAATGATTGAAATAGTTTTTCTTTTATCTAAAATACTGTCATCAAGGTGTACACCAGAGGTGCTAAGCTTTTTTGCTGAGCAATCCTCACTGTTAGGCATTGATTGATAATTTTTACAGCACAGGTTGGTGCAAATTGCCTGAAACATATTTTTCTTTTTGCTCTACAATACTGTGATCAAGGTATATGCCAGACATGCAAGGCCATTTTGCCAAGGAATCCTCACTGTTAGGCATTGATTGATTATTTTACAGCACATGTAGGTGCAATGCTTGAAACATAATATTATTTTTTCTTTGCTCTACAATACTGTGACAAAGGTATCTGCCAGAGGTGCTAAGCTTTTTTGCTAAGGAATCCTCACTTTTAAGCATCAATTGATCATTTTACAGCACATGTAGGTGCAATGCTTGAAATATATTTTTCAAAATGATTAATCATAGATATCAAACTTTGAGGGATTTCTCATTGAAGCAAGTTAAATGTATAAGTGAACGAAATGAGCTATTAGCAACTTTCAGTTGTAGGGGATAGCCACAGAAACAAAGTTGTGTTAGGCCTGGGAAGGTTTGGTGTTTGCAAGTTTACATGTATGTCTTTTCCAGTGCAGTCAAGTACTATTAATAGTGAATCAACTACTAAAGAAACTGTTGCTGAGGAAGCTTGTGTTTTATCACACATTTCTCACAAAGCATTTCCCTTCCTTTGGTGTAGTTTTTAGAGAACTACTTAACTGCTTGTATGAGAGGTTTGTGGAATTAACCCTTTACCTCCAACATCAAATTTGTAATTCTCCTTACTGCCAACCATACAATTCTTATAATGGTAATTCAGAGAATTTAGTATTTGATCAACTAATTATCCCCAAATTGATATTTTTCTTTATTCTCATCACCTATCTGGTTGATATTGTATTTGTATTGTAAGGAGAAATTTTGTCTTGGTCACTCATGGGAGTTAAAGGGTTAAGGAAGGGATCAAACATTCATTTACCATTTTTAGAGCTCTTTAGTCAGAGAGTGTATGTGTTGAAAAATCATGGTTAGGCATTTTAATGCAATGTAGTTGGGATTCTTTTATCTTCATGGAGTAGGGATTGTCCACAATGACAAAAAGGAGATAATGTATTGATTTCAGAGGTGAATAGGGGTGATTGGCAGCCAAAATAATAGACTTCAATGAAGCATGTGAAGTTAGGAAAACCAAGGTAGAAGTAATTCCTTCTGGATCAGAAAGAGCTGGACTCAAAACATGACATAAACACATTGATCCTGCTTTGTATGATGGTCTGTACGTCCCTTGGTCAACTTCAGATGTTTATAGCTTTGGTTATATGGCAAGTACAATTGCAAAGACTAAGAAATCAGAACCAATTGATAAATTAAGTCTGACTTGTATGAGCAAATATAAGCAACTAGCATTTGAGACATTGGTGAGGGACCTTCACCCTTTAACTCCCAAGATCTTATTAGTAATTCTCCCTACTGTCTGCCATATAGTTCTAGTGATGTTAGTTTGGAGAATTTGGTATTCAATCAACTAATAATCCTGTAATTAATGTTTTTCCATATTCTCATCTCTTGTCTGCTTGATATTGTATTAATATTGTAAGGAGAAATTCTGTCTTGGTCATTCATGGGAGTTAAAGGGTTAAGATTGTTATTGCCTTGTAAGCTGTTTAATTTTTCAGATTTGATGCATACAATATGCAATGTACTTTTGAATATGAGTAGTCACATGTTATGATTTGTATAACAATTACCATTTCAGTGGTTGAATGTACATTGTGCTAAACAATTTGTCAATAAATATGCTATTATTTTATTCAGCTTGTCTTGTTTTTGTTACCTTAGGTGGAAGATTGGATGTATAGATTTCAACTTCCAGCACATGTGAGTATAAAACCATATTATGTAAAATATTTAATATTAAGGAAGGATATTTAAAATAGCAAGTAAAACCTTACTCATTTAATTGTTTGACTACTCTGGGCTACTGTGTAGCCATTATTAAACTTAAAACAAGTGGGTGTTGTGGATGCATTATTTACGATTTTTGGGGTTTCCAGAGGTCATTTTAAAGGTTAGGCTATTTGGGAAAATTTGTTTAGGTGGGGTATCCTATTGGAAGTCAACAATTCTTGTGATATGTGTGTTAAAAGTGTTGAATTGGCCATATAATTTTTTATTTGATGTTCATACATTGAATCATCTTTTTGTACCAGAAATTAAAGATCAAATTGTACTGGTTTTAATTAACAACTGAAGATACTACAGCAAAAAGGAAAGGGCCCTCAATAAGAAGTGTTTACAATCCTACCAGTAACTGTCTTCTACCAAAAGAGACCAGAGACTCTTTTAATTTTAGAGCAGATTATTGAAAATAGAAAAAAAACAAACAAACAAACAAACAGAAATGGCTGTGAAATCAGTGTTTGCACCAAATAAAAACATGCTATTGACTGCATGTAGCTTCACTTTTAATGCCTAGCTGTGTTGTCACACATTTTCCTTGGCTGCAAGGTACAAAACAAAAATACCTATCAATCATGAACTTGCCAATGTATACAGTTGTAAAAATAATTTTGAATTGTTTGTTTTGGTCATTGATAGCCAAGGGGAGCATATCTTTTTGGATATAAGGGACTAATTCCAAATTAGTCTAGTTGATCACTCAGCAACCTTTTAGTTACAACTTTCTTCTTTTGAGACTTTGTTTTGCTCATTTTTATGGGGTTAGGTGACTCATTTTTTTCATTTTTATTATTTTTTCTTTTTACAGAGAACAGCTTCAATTGATGATGAATTGTTGAAGTCCTTTCAGCCTCAAATTGTGGCCATTGGTGAACAATTTGATTTTGATAAACTAATTATCATCTATGAGGGCATTATTCTATGCAGCAAACCACAACAAAGCATTGTAAATAGCATTGTGGCTTTGCTGTCATCATTTTATATATTCAATATGTGGTGTATAAAGACAGCAAAGCCATATTGTCTTTCCTAGAGCAGGCCCTAATGGGTATTGGCCAAGGTCATACTTTGCTGAATGTCAGCACTTTCTTTAACCCTTTAACTCCCATGAGTGACCAAGAGAAAACTTCTCCTTACAATCTCAGCACAATTTCAAGTAGAAAAGTGATGAGAATAAAGTAGAATATGATCTAGGGGACTTTAAGTTGATCCAATACTAAATTCTCCCAAATAATATCAAAAGATTGTATGACAGACAGTAAGAGGAATTACTAATACGATCTTGGGAGTGAAAGGGTTCTTGAAATTTCAGAATTAGAATCATTGGTAGAATTTATTTGTAATTTCTGTTTGTATGAAGAAATGTACAATTAACATTGGATATTCTCAATACTGTGGTTTATAGCCCTTTCACAGCTGTTTTATGCACATGTATTATTTTCAGTTTGCCAATAAAAGGTCACAGCTGGAGAATGCAAATCTTTACATTGTCGATAAACCATTTTTCATATATATATATATTACTATTAATTCAAATTTACGCGGCTTGATTATATATTATTTTTACATGCTAAACAAGTTTTCGTTCCTCTTTAATGAGTGTGAATCAAATGGATAATTGGAACCATCTCACAGGATAAATGAAAATTAATTTTAGCTTTAACAAAACTGTTATAGTAAGCTAAAATTATAAGTCATTCGGACATTCGTTTCAATAACTTTAATCCGCATTTAAGGGATTTTTTGTTACCTTGTTTTTGCTGCTAAATGAGTTGTTTGAATGATTGTGAATCAAATGGACCGATTGGAACCATCTAAAAGGATAAATGGAAATTAATTTTATCTTTAACAAAACTGTTTAGTTCTGTTAGGAGTCAGGACTTCGTTTGCATTCTTTAGTCCCCAGGAAGTGCTTTCCTTTTGCATTAACAGCGTCGTAAATGAGTCACCCTTTGATGCCGATGTTAGCCATTAAAATGTACAGATTTGTTTGAGCTCAACATGGGGCTAATTTTATATCCAAAAACTTTAGGGGCCTGTTTTACATTATTAAAACCCCAAAAATCAAGAGCGTCGTTTCAGACTCTATGATGCCGAATTTGGGCTGATTTGGCCATACTCTCTCCATTTTGACCCCTTAAAAGGCCAAAACTACCCCTCATTTTTCCTAAACTACCCCTCATTTTCTTAAAACAGCCCCGTTATGAAGTCGTTTCGGCTATCCCATACAGGGCCATTTCTGCCCTTTTTACGAGGGCCAGAACAACTCTTATCCAGAAGGGCCAAATGAGCTCCAAAATAGGACTATTTTACTCACCGAGATGGCCCTATTTTAGAGGCTGAAACAGATCCTTTCGATTTACAGCGTAGAAAATTGATGTATTTAAAGTAAAAGTATGAGAGTAGTTACTTCCACTCTGAAAATAACAGAAGTTTATTAAAACACACTTGAAATATGTCTGTAAGTATTTTGCTGTATGTCCAGGGATTTTGCTTTTTATAAAATAGTTACCCAGCGACATAAAGTTCTTTCGAGCCTAAAAGCAAGCAGAAAACAAAACCTGTATGAAAAAAATAGATGTATAGTAAACCTCAAAACACTACACAGTAAACCTTTATAAGTGTAAGTGAATAAGTGTAAATATTGTAAACTTTGTATACAGTTGAATTTAATGTGTATAGTTTGGTCACCTAGGAAAGTAAAGCGAGATCAAATGTTGGTTGCATGTCAAATATTTCCACCTGTAACTTCCATTAAATAGCCGAGTTTGCCCAAAGAGAGATTAGCAATGTACCTTGGAAATCCTCAGCGGTCCTAAGCCGCGTTGAACAAGCTAGATGTAAATGACCCGACGCATCTCATTATATATACTTCAGATTTTAAATATTTACTGCAGAACGACATTAATGTACCGATTGATAAATCTCAAGAATCTTACTGAGCCCGTTAAGTCATCAACTTTAGCTTCTTCCAGATACGAATATGCAAGAGCATGTAGAAAGATATGTTAGAAGGACCGTGACATAACTTAGAACGCTTTTTAGAAAGGAAAGGTATATATATACATATATATATACATATATATATATATATATATATATATATATATATATATATATATATATATATATGTGGACAGGCCATTTTAGCTCCGCTTTAGAACATCATTGTTTGAAAACACTGGTTGTAATTGACCCTTTCCAGAAACTTGAAAGGAAACACTTTGTAGGCTACTGCGTCAAATTAAAGTGTTTTTCATTTTAACAAGAAAGGAGGGAAGGTTTAAACCTTTTTTTTGGTACTAAATTAAAAAAAAAAAAAAATTCGGTGCACATCTAGCGTGCATGCATCAGGATTAAAACTTGATGTCTTTTAACCCTTTAAATCCTAAAAGTGATTAACATATAACTTCTCCCCACAATATCGATACATTATCCAGCAAACAGGTAATGAGAATATACTCAAACCTATAAGGTGGAAGTTGTTGTCATGATCAAACACCAGTTATAACCATTCGAATGAAATAACCATTCGAAGTCAAAGATTACAACAAGAGTGTTTTGGTGCTCTTGGCATTAAACGCAGGCTCTGTTAATTTGCTTCCACATCTGAAATGAGGTCAAACCACAAATGATACTCTTAGCAACGAAGTAAACCACATTGCTTTTATTGGTCATGATATCAATCGATACGATTGGCTTACGTCGTTTGTATGATACCGCACATCCAATTAAGCTCACCATCAGAAAAATTTTGATGTAGGTCTTTTATCTCCCAATTTCAGTGTTCCTTTCTATAATTTATAGAACAATGGACTCATTTATACGTTTTCTTAAATCCGGTGTACAAGCGATTTGTTATAATAACCCACACAGAGGTTCAGTTTTTTTTAGAATTGTTCATAATGGCTCCAGAGGGTACGCCGTGGATGCTCATGGCTAGAAGTTTCATCGCAATAATCGTAGTACAGTTCGTCTCATTTTCTCAATTTTTCATTACATTCTTATGCAAGCTTGGAGAGGACGCCGCTGTTGAACAGTTACACTGAGAGAATCATTATTTTCCCTGCCTTTTCCTAATTCATCGACGCGACAACTAAATTACATGAAGTAATTGAAGCTGAACTCAGTCAACTGTTATTAATTACTCAGTAACTACAATCATCATGAAAATCTTTATATCATTGAAATGACCATAAGAGTATGTTTTCCCCGCTGGCTACTAATTAATGACTTGCCAATCAGTCATGCTGCTTTTAAACACCGTTGTCACATATGCGAGTCCATGCCAGTTCGCAAGAAATATAATTTGTGAATCTCATATAAGGATTTGCTATTTTGTTGGCTGATTTCATTTGTTTTTCCACTTAAATAGTTTTATTTCCAGCCTTTCTTGTTTTTTAGTTCTCCCCTCCATGAAGGTAATTTTATGCATGTGCACGTCCCAAAACATCAAGACCGTAACGTATAACATAGCTCTCTTAACATATCATACTCATGCATGAAGAACGAAACTTATCCAGATTTTACTTAGCTCCCGGTAACTGTTATCGATAACCATGCGTTTGAGCGGTTTCTCCTTTGTTATGTCACTCGTCCCTCTGAAATAACTAAGCGGAGCGAAAAATGTTTTCGTGAGCAAATGAATTGCTAGAACATACGTTTGCAGTGTTTGTCGTTTGGTGACCTAATTGATTTCTAAGAGATGTATTTTAATGTTTTATTTTCTTATCATTGGATAGGAATAAAAAAATTATTCTATTTATTTTATAAAGTCTCCAACACACATTTATACAGATAAAATGTTACAATGCAATTCTATTTCATTGTCAAAAGGTCTAAATTTCAGTTAGTTTAATATTCATAAAGTATGTGAAGCCACAGAATCATGTCAAAATCATACCTAAGTTTAGCCTTTCACTCGTTCATAGAAGTGTGTCTTTCATTACAGCTCGTTTTTAAGTTAATTTTATGATGTATCATATTTTTTATTCTTATTCATTTTTCAGATTTTACTTTTTTGATATTTGTTAATCTGAAATAACTAAGAAAAATGTTTTCTATGAGCAAATTTTATCTAGAACATACGTTTGCAGTGTTTTCAGACCATTGATCTAAGAGAATAGTCATCATTTCTTATCATGGATAGGTTAGCCTTTCACTCGTTCATAGAAGTGTGTCTTTCATTACAGCTCGTTCCATTTGGTTAATTTTATGACATATTTTTTATTCTTATTCAAGAGCTAGTTTTTCGGAGTAATTTTAATCTAGTTGACTAGTTTTATCTTTATTCCAGCCATATCAATAGATCATGGATAGAACATACGCAAGAAAACAGTAGAAATACAGTTGTTAATGATAAATGTTAATATGGATACATATCAGTGGCATTTTTTACTATTTCTAGGAGTGTGTGGGTAAATTGAGCTAGTATATAGTTAACCTGCAGTAGCAGGGGTCTTAATGGGGCGAGTTAACCCTTTAACTCCTAGGAGTGATTAACATATAACTTCTCCCCTATAATATTCATACATCATCCAGCAAACAGATAATGAGAGTACTAAAACTGATCATGTAGAAATTGCCATCAAGGCGTAGAATTCATTACCCCACCCTCACCCCCACCCCTCTCCTTGTTTTTTTACTGTCGCTTACCCGCTCGGTTAAAACTTCTTTCTCTCCCCAGCCTTCCGCTGCCATTAAAATTAAAGCTGGTGGTCATAATTTTCCCTGAAAAATACTTAGCACTCGCTCACCAAAATTGCGCCTGCTCTTTAGACTGCATCTGAAAAATTACTTTTATTTCTTTTTTTTGGAGACGTTTTATATGACTATAACTGTAACTTGAAATATTCGTGTCAGATTTTAGGTGGTCTTTCTGGATATCAAAACGGTTTTCCTTTGCCTTTGAATAAAGGAAGTTTGGGCCTCAGGGATTCTCTATAAGAGGGTTACTTTCATTAGATAAATGTCCTTCCACTTTTAGCTTTTGGCCCTCGACACTGCTCACAAAAATAAATGTTCTGAGAAAAGGCTCGGCTAAATTGAAGATGGCTTAGAACGCGGTTTTGTTAAACAACGGCTAAACTTTGTTTAAATAACCGGCTCTTAGAGTTACTTTCTAAAACACTCACCCCTCCGTACAACCTATTCTCCCAGTGTGCCTTTCTTCATAATGATAAAATAATGGTACCGTCGCAAATGACGTTGTATAAATTCTTATTATCACCCCTAATTATCCATCTTGACATTATCTTAAAGATGGGAGTTTCACATAAACTCAAAAAGTTGTAAGAAAATTGTAAGAAAATTTTCGAATATTTATTTAAATCTACCATTTTATTCTAAAAAACTATATTATTCTGCAACAGAACGTAGAAAATGATGCGTTAAAAGTAAAAGTAAAAGAGTAGTTCCAATCTGAAAAGAACAGAAGTTGATTAAAACACACTTGAAAAATGTCTGTAAGTATTTTGCTGTATGTT